CCACAGATTGGGGGTTGGGGCCCCCCGGGTTAAGCCAAAATACGGTTGTTTGATTTTGAGTCAGCATGCCCAGTGAAGGCATCCTTCTTGTGGCTTATTCAGCAGAAAGTGATGGAAAAATGAGAATCTACGCACAGCATGTGAGCCAGTTTCTGCATCTCTTCTGTCCACCCTCTCAGGATTCAGGGGATGGCATAGGGAAGCGGCGTTCAGACAATGGTGAGGAAGGGGTCCGGTGGAAGCTGACTGATGAGCCTGCTCAGAACAAGAAGAAGTTGCCACCAGCACCACCTTTGCCCCCGCCGCCCTCTGAGGAGAGTCCGGTCCAGACGGGTGCTCACAAGCGCAAAAAGGAGCTCCCAGCCCCTGAGACGGGACCCAAGAAGAAGGTGAATGGCAACGGGCTCAGCCTATGACTGTCAGGCCCCATGTGTCTACAAGGCCAGGATCCTTCTCACGCTTTAGCCTACTACTCCCCCTTGTTGGGCAAGCTTAAAACCCTCTTGACATGTGACACTAGCCATTTCCTCAGCCTGGTATGTTGGCTAGAGAGGATGGGCAGTGTCTTCCAAACTGTCCAGTGGAGTAGGGAAGCTGCCAAGAAGATTCTTCCTAGACCTAGACTATCCAAAGGTTTTACTTCTCATGCTGGTCAGCCAGATGATCTCAGCAGTCTTACAAGAGGGGTATAAAAGCAGTCATCAGGAATGTGTTTGATAGGCCCAACCTTCAGCACGGATATCAACCACTTCACCTCAGTTGGACAACCTTCATTACATTTTGCGGTGGTCTCTTCCGATCGCTTCATTCTTCGTTATGTAATAAGTAATTTTGTTTGACCTGTTTAGCTCTCCTTCAACTCTGTCTCTCTTTTCCCATGTAGTCCAAAAATCCCCCACTTTTTTTACCCATCAGATCTGTGCCTGATAGGCTCCAGGGCCATCGCAAGGAGGCTTTAAAGAATCAAAGCTTTGTTTTTGTCCCTTTGTCTCCCACACCCCTATGCCTCCTAATGATGTCGCTTTTTTATCATTGTTGTGTCTACCCTGTTTCCCTTCCAAAAGTTATTGACATCTGTTAGTTGAACCCAATTAAATTGTTTTCCCCTCCCTGTTCCAACTGAGACACTTAATTAGCAAAGCAGTTAAGGCTATGCTTTTCTGCAAAGCATTGGGGGTGGGTGGATAGCATTTTTGTTGGGGGAGCTGTTGACTTGGGCAACAAAAGTTGCTATGGTGTTGGTTGTTAACGGATTTTAGCAATGCTCTTGTTTTATTGCAACCTGAATAGGCAGGACACAAGTAACTTAATAAATAGCATTTGGGCATCTTGGCTACTACCTGTTATACCTCGGTGAGCCACATGTTGCTGTTGGGGAGCATGGGTGTTCTTTCATGTGGTGATGGATCCATACCCATAGAGATCACATGGCTAGATCCTAATTTGCGGTCTTTGTATTACTACTACTACCAAAGTTGAAGATCAAGTGAAACTTCCTGATTCTCTGAAGGAATCATGGTAACTACACTAGAGGTTATACTTAGTCCTGCCTTATGATTTTATGCCTCTACCTACAATGCACTATTCCAGTTTGTATTTCTTGTACAAACTACACCTCTTTCCACTCCAGTCTTAAAGTAGGAATCTCTGGATTAAGGGTGTGTTAAATGCTGTGGATTTGAGAGCCATCCTGGGCTTTGTGCAGCATGTTGCGGGTCACAGTCCAACAAAAATGGTGAGACAAGGATTCCAGTTTTCCAGATTGTTTTGCTCACTTCCATTCTGGGAAAGCTCTGACAACTCCAAAAAAGATGTATTAGCAAGTCATACTTTTTTGCCTGTGTGGTAAATCGGGTGTCCAACTTGGCAACTTTAAGACTCATGGACTTTTAAACTCCCAGAATTCCCCAACCAGTGGAAAGACATTCTGCATCTCTGAACTTTTTAAGTGCTTAATTTGGTTTTTTTTTACAATATTCTCAACCCCAAATTCCTTACTTTTGATATCAGAAGAGGTTACTTTAAGTAACATGCTCTGGTCTAGAATTTTCACTGTCTTCTTTCTTTCTCTTTCCAGTTGAAAGGTACCCGGGAAATTTTTTTGAAAAAGGTGAGTGGTTTGGCCTTTCTCACCTGGCTGGATTTCATTATGCAAGAGGGTCTGTGGATAAGATGCCAAGGGAGAGCAAAAAAGAAAAAGAAAGAAAGAAAGAAATGGAGGAAGAATTTCCCTTGATGCAAGAGCCAGGCAGGTCATGGATCCATCTGTGGATCCTCTGTCATCCAGCAGTGTAGCTCACAAGACTGTCTATACAGGTAGACCTTGACTTATGACCACAGTTTTTTGTTGCTAAGCTAGACAGTTGTTAAGTGGGTTTTGCCCCATTTTACAACCTTTCTGGCCACAGTTGTTAAGTGAATCACCACTCTTGTTACGTTAGTCACATGGTTGGTTTTTTAAAAAGTTTTTGTTTATTTTCATATAAGTATCCACAAGTATACCATTACATCTTAGCAAACACTATTATGTATTATCCGTGGATCCAGATCTCACAGGCTGGGCCTCCTCCGGGTGCCGTCGGCCGGACAATGCCGGCTGGCGGCCCCTCGGGGGAGGGCCTTCTCTGTAGCTGCGCCGGCCCTGTGGAATGATCTACCCGTAGAGATCCGGACCCTTTCCACTCTCTTGCCCTTCCAAAAACCCACCAAAACCTTGCTGTTCCGGCAGGCCTGGGGCTGTTGATCAAATGTCCAGCCCCCACCTAGACAGAATGGATGGTGTGTAATTTTAATAATTGTATTCTTATTCTTAATATTTTAAATTTTTTTATCTTCTTTCTGTAAGCCGCCCAGAGTCCTACGGGATTGGGCGGCATACAAATTTTATTAAATTTCAAAATTTCAAATTTCAGTGTTATATCAGTTCCTCTCACCGTCTACCGACAACAACTCTCATTTGCTCTTCTGCTTTCCATACACCATTTATGCCCATTCCACAGCAGCACTACCTCCTCTCCCTCTCTCCTCCTTTCTTCCCTCTACCATCCCTCCTCTCCTTTCTCTTCTCTACTTCCCATTCCTCTCTCCTCCTTCTCCTCTCTCCTCTCGCCTCTTTCCGCTCCTTCTCTCTCTCCTACTCTTTTCCTCACCTCTGCTTCCCTCTCTTCTATCCCCTCTCTTCCCATCCTTTTCTCTCCCCTCTTCCCTTCCACTCTCTCCACTTGGCTTACATGGTGTATTTCAGCATCTGAGCAGACTCAATTTAATATTGGTGGTATTAATAATCATATTCCAGTAATCATCTTTCATATTAATAATTTTACATAAATCTTCCTTTTAAATGTATACATATATAGTAATTCCATTACTGTGTCACCCCCACCCCCCCAGTGCATATTTTTTGGACAAAGTGTGGGTTGGGTTCCAACATCGTTTCACATATTTTTAAATCATATCTACTTTTCCATCTATCACCATAATAATATTACATAGCTAAACCTCATTAAATGCCCATAATTTTCTAACCTCTTATTATAACATCAATTGTTTATCCTCATTAGGAGTATTTTCAAATTCCCCATCCATTTTTGTACATTTTCCAATACCTTTTATCATTTTAAACTTATCCTTAACTATAACAAGATAATCAATTTCCATTCATCTGTTGGTACATATCAAATAACATCTTTGACCACAATTAGTAATGTTTATACAATTCCATTTAACATACTAACATATACCTTGTTCTCTTCCTTCCTATCCCTTCCATTCCATATTACCAACATTCAAGTATATTAAATTACATTTAATTCTCTTTTGAATGAAATCCTTCCACAATTCATATTATTAAAAGCGTACCCCTTCATGTTTATTACAATTCAGTTTAAGTACTATATAAGTGTGACAAATAACATATATCTCACGTATATTCTCCACATAAAAAGTTCTGCTTACTTAATTAACCACAATTATTCATGCTAATATAATTACTGATATATATCAGTAATTATATCATCTTCCTCCTCCTATCAATTTTCGTTCTCTTCTTATCCTTTCCACTTCTTTCTGGTCAGCCTTTTATCCCAATCTCTAAGCTTCTTTTTCATTTTACTATTCCTATAGCCTTCCTTCCAGGTCTTTTTTTATCACTCTTTGCTGTATCATTCGGATTGCCCTCGTCAAAGTTTTCTTTCATCTCTTTGCATTATTTCCCCCTTTTCTTTTATTCCTGTGCTTTTTTTGTGGGACGCTCCTTTTCTTCTTTCTTCTCTGTGCCTATCTGATCATTTTTACTCCCTTCTTTACTTCCCTTTCCTTCCTTTGTTGGGAAATGCTCCCCCTTTCTATTTTTTTCTGTGCCACTGTCAAACCCAGTGAAATTATTTATCTGTTTCTTATTTTCATTTCCTTCTATTACTCTTTTGTTTCCTTTGCTTTCATTTCCTCCTTCTTCAGTGTTTATTTCTTGCTTCTCCTTAATATCTAACTTACCATCTCTTCATAATTTTAGTGTTTCACGCATATTTTTTATAATCTCACATATTTCTTCAAATTCCCAACTCTCCATACGGGCCAATTTACAGTTTTTCCCTTTTAAAATAGATCACAATTTGTTAAAGTTTAAAGTCCACAATTTCTTCTTATTTTCCAGTTCTAGTCCAATTTAGATGTTCCAATCCAATTCCAGCAAAAAAGAAAATTCCCCCTTCCACAGCTGCAGAGGAGCAAAACCAAACATCCTGCGCAAAATAAATCCTCCTTAAACTTTCGCACCGTTCCAATTCACATCAAGGTCAGGGCTTCAAGTTTTGTTTTCTTTGTTTCTACAAAGTAACACATTCTTCCTTCCAATAGCTGACTCCAACCTCAATTCTTTCAGTCCAGTTTATTTCCAAAACAATTTTAAAATCCAGAAAATAAAAATAATAAAAAAAGAGACAAAACTTTTTCTTAGCTTTTTCCTTTTCTCGTTTTCCACCTCCAGTTAGTTAAAACAAACAAGTTTAAACAAACACGTCTCCTCCGTCTTTGGTATTTTACCCACTGGGGTTTTTTCCCATTCTTTCCGTGAAGGTCCCAATTGTCAGTTAATCGTTATTTACCGCTCAAAAATATTTTTCCAAATTCAGAGTTTTTGTACCAGTGGGTTAGCCAATCCTTTTCTTGTTTTCCACCTCCGTATTTTTCAGAGTATAAGACGCTCCGAAGTATAAGACGGACCTAGCTTTTGGGGAGGAAAACAAGGGAAAAATATCTGCCTCTGCCTCCTAGAAATTTGCCTCCTTGCAACAAACAGCACAGACAATATACACTGTTTGTAGTTTTACATTTCAGACTATACTTGTACAGATGGTGCTAAAATTGATGTGCTTTCTGGAAGTATAGTTATTCTCTGCTATTTAAAAGAAGATACAATAGCATNTCTGCCTCTTCAACTCCTGCATAGCAATAGCACTTAGAATTATATACCACTTCACCGTGCTTTACAGCCCTCTCTAAGCAGTTTACAGAGTCAGCATATTGCCCCTAGCAATCTGGGTCCTCATTTTACCGACCTCGGAAGGATGGAAGGCTGAGTCAACCTTGAGCCAGTGAGAATTGAACTCCTGGCAGTCAGCAGAATTAGCCTGCAATACTGCATTCTGACCACTGCACCACTATAGCTCTTCAGATCAGTCGACTTGGTGAAGTTTACTAGGAGGAGTATCTCATCTTCGGAATGGGAAAATTCACTGCAGCCAACCAGCCACGGCCACCTTACCACGGTCAAACCGCCATAACCAACTCACTGTGGGGCAATTCGACACGGCCAACTTGCCACAGGACAATTCGCTGCAGGACAATTCAACAATTCAATTTATTTATTTAAAATAATTAAAAAATAATTTTAATTTTGTCATTCGCATTTCATTTTTTCTTTTCTTTGGCATCATTTCTTTAATGATTCTATTCCACTATTTCTTCAATATTAATGTACCATATTTTGGAGTATAAGACGCACCAAGATTTTGAAGAGGCAAATTAAAAAAAATGGTTTTTGCACTCTGCAGACCTCCCCAAAACGGACCGGTTTTTCTCAAAAAATGGGCATGCATAACCTTTAGGAGGCTTATAGAGTGCTGGGGGGGGGGGGGATTGAGCAAAAAACGGCCCTTTTTTGCTCATTTCTACCCTCCCCAGCCCCTAGGAGCACTCTGAAAGCCACCTAAAGGCTATGCACGGCCATTTTGGTGAAGGGGGTGGGGTTTTGGGAGGCAAAAAATGCTGTATTCAGTGTATAAGATGCACCCAGATTTTCAGCCTTTTTTTTGAGGGGAAAAAGGTGCGTCTTATACTCCGAAAAATATGGTAACTCTTGTCTCACAGCAAGTTGGCCATGGTGAGTTGTCCCGCGGTTAGTTGGCGAGTTGGCCATGGTGGGTTGGCAGTGGCTATTTCTGCTGACTGCAGTTCAGCAGTTCAGTTCTCACAGGCTCAAAGTTGAGTCAGCCTTCCATCCTTCTGAGGTCAGTAAAATGAGGAGCCAGGTTTTTGGGAGTGATATGCTGACTCTAAACTGCTTAGAGAGGGTTGTAAAGCACTGTGAAGCGGTATATTAAGTGCTATTGCTATTTTGCATTTCTTACGTCTGACTTCCGTCCTCTGTCTCCTTGCAGCCAGTTTTACCTCACACGGCCGTGTGCCTGGTCTGTGGGGAGGCCGGGAAAGAGGACACAGTAGAGGGCGAAGAGGAGAAGTTCACCCTGTCACTCATGGAGTGTACCATTTGCAACGAGATTGTGCATCCAGGCTGCTTGAAGGTGAGAGAAGAGAGCCACTGCACAGTCGCCACCCCTGCTCAAGAGTATCTTGCACATTCTATTCCCCTGCACAGGTCTTT